TATGCTGACTCTGTAAACCGTTTAGAGAGGGCTGAAAGCCCTATGAAGCGGTATATAAGTCTAACTGCTATTGCTATAACTATCTGTCTTCTCAGCTCCAGCCATTGAGAAGTTTCAGGCAAATTATATCTGGTGACTTGATTCCCCAGGCCTAAGAAGGGATGATATTGACCACACATATTGTCTCAGATCGTGGTCTGTTTGGTTTTTTCAGGCTAGATTGTTGCATCGTATAGAATGAGATTTATTTATTTATTCCTCACGTTCATACACCACCCACATCACCTGACTCTATAACAACGAGGTTCCTCAAATGATTTGATTGGTCTCATATCTCAGCCAACATAATTTTGCCTGGGCCGTGAATGAGATGCAACTGAGCTGGAATCTGGTTTAGACATAGCATTAAAGGTTGAATATGTGCTCCTCGTGATGAGGTACTTGAGGTATTCTTCCCATGTGATCAATACCTGAATGTTTTCAAGGCCGTAGCAAATTTTTATGGGTAGCTTTAGTCCAGGGGTAGTCAAACTTTTTATACCTACCGCCCAGTTTTGTATCTCTGTTAGTAGTAAAATTTTCTAACTGCCCACAGTAATGGTGATTTATAAAGTAGGGAAGTAACTTTACTTTATAAAATTTATAAAGCAGACTTACAGCAAACCCCTACCGGCGCTCACCATGAAGGCTGGAATGCCCACTAATGGGTGGTAGGGACCAGGTTGACTACCATTGCTTTAGTCTATAGAAGCCCTTTGATGCCTTCAAGGAATCCCAGAAGTGATTTTTCCAAAAGGCAACTGGACTTCCTTGGGTTTTCTTCTTTTAAAATCATTTTGCAACTTCTTCAGTTCTGAAGAAGCTTCTTGGATAAGAAGCAAAATGTTTTCAAGGGAAAAACCAAGAAAGTCCATTTGCCTTTTGGAAAAATTACCTTTGGGACAACCATGACTTCGATGGCTGTGAATCTCCTTAGACAACTTCAAGGAATCGTTAATTTCATTGCGTTTCTTCCTTTTGTCTATAAACTGTATATATTGTTATGTGTTGTTGTTAGTTGCGAAGTTGTGTCTGACCCATCGCGATCCCATGGACGACGTTTCTCCAGGCCTTCCCATCCTCTACCATCCTCTGGAGTCTATTTAAGCTCATGCTGACTGCTTCGGTGACTCCATCCAGCCACCTCATTCTCTGTCGCCCCCTTCTTCTTTTGCCCTCCATCGTTTCCAGCATGAGGCTCTTCTCCAGGGAGTCCTTCCTTCTCATTAGGTGGCCAAAGTATTTGAGTTTCCTCTTCAGGATCTGGCCTTCTAAAGAGCAGCCAGGGTAGTCAGAAATATATTTACCAGTATTTAACTGAGGATATCAATCTACGCATATGTGTGTTTTGTAATGCACACTTTTTGTCTTGCTTAGTTTTCCTTTGTTTTTGTATTCCTCCCCTTCCCATACACACACACACTTTGGATTGGGGGGGAGGGTTATAGTTTAACATTGTGAATAAAAATAAAAATAAACTTATTGAGCAATAACACACACACACACACAC